CCGGAAGAGATCTGCATCTGGCTTCCTCCACACGGTTTCCTTGTTCGCTTTCAGCGGTGCAGGGTGGATCCCGACGCTCTATTGTTAGTTGATACTAATAATCCAAGGCACGGAATAGTAAAATCATTCCATCCCGTATGTGATGAATGAGCTGTTTTTTACACCCTCATAATTACTCTTGATGTGTACAAAATTTGGGTCTGAAGCTCTTGCTTGGGGAGCAAGCGCACCTCGTGTCGTGCAGCAGGAACTTGGGCAAGCTCAGGTTCAGGTTCAGGTGAACCGCATGACCGGACTAGAGCGTCAGCATTCGGCGTACAGGGGCACTTTTTACCTTGTTGGGAACGGGGGTGAAGCCCAGATAGGTTGGGTTCGGAAACATTGGGATCACATCACACACGGGCCGGTGCAGTGCGTGTGCCGTAGAATCAGATGAAAGTAGGCCTTGAATTGGCGTTGGCCGGGGCCCGAGACGTGATGAGTCCGCGCTGGATTATTATTGATTGGTGGGGATCCGGACCCATTCAAGGCGAATGCGGTGGCCACGTCGTCCTTCCTTCACCAGGCAGGCAGCGCGCTCCCATGCATGGATTGATCTTTACGTCGGTGGTAATTTTAGGCACGAGGCATGAGCGGAAACACTGCGCGCTGTTCACCCATGTTGAGACCAATGAACGAAACCTTGCCCGTAAGTACTCGTTACCGCATTATATTGTTATTAGTCGATCGATGCTTGCATATATACCTCATCGACGACCAAGGAGACCCGTATCTATCTATCTATCTTATCTGTCGATCCATCGATCTGGACATCTGGTGGCCGTGAGCCCACGTCCGCCGTGCATGTGCCTTGTCCGGCCGATCAGGGGATGTTGGCTCCCGTCTCGTCCCATCCCATGCATGTTCGGACGCGTGCTGCGGCGCGATGTTCGGGGGGACGATCCGATTCTTCTTCTCGCGATCTTTTCTTTTGTTGTTGGTGGCGATGATCAACGCTTCTTGTCCCGATCTAGATCGGCCGGAAACAGCTGCCGTGGAGATGGAGATGGATCGAATCATCGATCATGAGTGGAATCGCGTGGAAGGAGGTCCGGCCAAGGTGGCGTGGCGACGGGGGGTCGATCATGTCGCATGCATGCGTCCGTCCAGGCCTCGTCGACTTGTCTTGCGTGCGGTTTGGTGGGGTGGGGCACGGAGGGAGATCTGGATCGGGCACAAGAAAACAGCACCGCCGGCAGAGACAAAAGATGGTAAATCCTAAAGAGGATCGGTCGGTGACGCCGCCTCTCTCTAACAAGAGAGACCACACATCATCATTCCTACTATAACTGAACCACTGATGAAAAGTAAATCGGCGTCGGTCACGGGTAGCTCTGCGCACATGGCCCTGTGTGAAGTGAAGTGAAGTGAAGTGATGAATGGATGCACCGGCGAGGGTGCCCCACCTCACCTGGGAGGATCGCCAGCCTGAGCTTCGGTTCACCTTTATCGTAGGCGCGCACGGCTGGCTGGCTGGCAATGATGAGCTCACCAACCATTTCAGTGAGATGAGACAGTATTGCTATTCGCACTTTTGTTTTCTAGCAGTAACAAATCAAAAAAAAAAAACGTCCTTGCTCGACATTTGAAAGGCTTTTGACTCGGTGAAGCGAGAGTGCTTGCTTGATCTTTCTCCAACGTCACGGATTCCCGGCTAAATTTAGGGGTTGGATTGCCCCCTTGCTCCACATGTCATCATCCCGGATTCTTCTCAATAGAGTGTCCGGTCCACCTATAACACATGGTAGGGGCCTCCGACAAGGGGAACCCCTCTCACCGCTCCTATTCGTCATTGCAATTGGCCCCTTGCAAAAAAAATCCTAAGTCGGCCACTCAACATGGTCTTCTACACAAGATTCAGGGTCGGGGGGCCATGTTCCGCACCTCCCTGTATGCGGACGACACGGCGGTCTTCATGACTCCTTTCAACAGGGACATTGACAAATTTTGCGAGCATTTTGAGAAACTTTGCCGACGTAACGGGGCTGGCCAGAAATTTCAGAAAATCTGGTGTGGGCATCTAAACCTTGCAACGATTCTTCCTAGCTTGTAAGTGGCTAGACTGCTAGAGTGGTCTTCCCAATCAAGTACTTCGGCCTACCGCTTTCGGTATGGCAACTCAAAAAGGTGGACTTCTAATATCTTGAAGACAACATTGCCTCCAAGCCCGTCGTTAGGTATGGAAGAAATATCACCACCATTGGTTGTGCGGCCCTTGTCAAGTCCGTCCTAACCTACAAGCGATCTACCACATCACCCCACACACACACACACACGCGCGCGCGCATTGTGCCACTGGGTGTGCTACACAATGCAAACAAGTTTGAGCAGGCCTTCCTTTGTTCCGGGACGGACAAGACGATGGACGCTAAGTGCAAAGTTAACTGGAACTCGGTGTATCGTCCTAAGGACTTCGGGGGCTTGGTGTGCTCAACCTCAAAATATTCGCTCGGGCTCTCAGATTGCGGTGGTTGTAGTTTCAGTGGAAGGAGCCTTCCAAACTTCAGGTGGGCTTGGGCACCCTGTGCAATGATGAAGATAAGAATTTCTTCTATGCCTTCACCACCATCTCTGTGGGTAATGGAGCTCGCACCCCTTTTTGGAACTCGTCGTGTTTGAATGGCAAGAAATACCAAGGAGATTGCTTTACTCATCTATAAATGCTCAACTAGAAAGAATTGGAAGACAAGGATGCAATGAAGGACCATGCTTGTATTCTAAAGATTAAAATTCCCAACGCAATTTCCATGGATCACATTCGCGAGTGCGTCTCCGTTTGGTTGGAGCTCCATGGCATCCATCTCCTCGTCGACACCGACGATGACATCTCTTGGAAGCACACGACAAGTAGGCACTACTCGGCGGCCTCTTTCGTACAAGGG